TCAGCTGTAGACACTGTATAAAAGTATAAAAAAATGAACGATTTATTTAAATTAACAAAAAATAAAATAACATTTTAACTGCTTAAAATACACATAATAAAAGGTACAAATATAGGTAATATARCTGCAATTCAGTATTATACAATATTGTTTTGATTAAATAACAGACAAATCATAATACATTTAGGCAATAATAATAATAAATTATGTTTGTACAAAAATAATGACTTACAATTAAATATCACAGACGAAAAAACTAAACAGAAATAACGTGCATGTCGGATAAGGCGCCGCCGTCTGTTTGGCACGTACGTGCGATATTTACATATTGTCTACATCATATACTTCATGATTATTATATATTTTACACTTAATAATAATATATAAGTGACTATTACTGAGAAATATTCCGTTAAAATACGAAAGGGGTCGATGAACAGCGGCGGCGGCGGGAAACCTTAGAAACGGTGTGTAAGCATTAGCCTAGCTATTATGATTACAATAAAAAAAATCGTAGAACTTTGTCAACGGGGTGACACATTATGCCGTATGCCGTCGGTAATCCGCCCACTCTCGAAGACAATATCAGTCAACAGAGACTCGAGCAAACTGTAAATAGACTTCACATTCGAGTTATCATTTTAGTTTGATATTATTGTTTCAACGCGCTTCGGCGTTAATAACGCAATACCTATTTGTCCCGTCGATAAAATTATAGTCTTCTCGCACACTAACACACGATAATACCGAWGGCCTTATTGTTCGTACAACGAAAATAGATAACTGTGCACGTTTTACAGACGATTGGTATCTATGGTAGACATAATATTAATAATAATAGCTATATAATATTGTGTACATAGGTAAAATGACCTTGTCTGTTTCCTTGCGTTAAAAAACAAAAACAAAAAATCGATATTAATGCGTTTAATATAAACACACGTCAACAACGGCGTAGATTTAAACGATAATAATATTATACGAACCGATATTGTGCGCCCCTGCTCGATAGATCGCCGTTTATTTCACGACTAATCAATGACGATTATACTCGGAACACATTGAACGACGATGATCGGTTCGAACTTAAACCAATGATTAAAAAACAAATTTTGTTGTTTGAGCTGTGTATACACAATTCCCAATGATTTATCGTTACAATAACGGCTTCTATCAATACTACGCGATACACTTTCAGGAGTCATTAAACAAGAAATCCCCGAAATTTTTTAAAATATGACATTCGAATAATCATCAATTATTACGATATTAACACCCGAAATACAATGATGGGTTCGAGATGGAAAAACTAAAATTATCAAAGAAATCCTATAATGCGCTGTATTTATTATTAAGTTGATTTGGACAATCATAAGCTTAAGATTAATCGAAAATATACTTTGTTGATGTTGTTATCGTAACAAACGATATAGTAATGAGGGAGTTTTATCAGTCCTGTCATTCGTCGGGCACATTATGGGAATTGAGTATCCAACTGTAAGCACACGAATATTAGTCACTATATACTATTATGACGGTTTCCCACCTTCTGGCCAACCATGACATGCACATTCTGAAGACCTTATGATTAATGGTTTTCGTATTTCAGATTAATAAAACGTTAGGCCAAACAAGACAAAAACTTCAAAAATACCGAGCAAAATGTTACTAAACGACACTAAATTTGATTTTATTAACTCTCACTATGTCTCTGGAACAATAATACGATTAGCGGTGTATTTTTCATTTTTCGACACAGCACGAAGCTTCAGGAAACAAAAAACAATGCAGTGAAAGAAATCTGAAAAATAATATGATAAATATATTATATAGCATTACGCCAATATATGCGTCTGAATTATAGTTGAATAAAAACAGTAAAAAAACTGACCTGGTAGGATCGGTTATTTCGTTGAACCCATCCACGTCCACCGTGTTCGGCTCATTGTCCAAGGAATAACTGAATGTCAACTACATTATCAAAATCATAAAATAATTAAAATTAATATTATTATCTAAGTACATATATATGTTGTTTAAATTACTTGTTCGTTGAATAAATCTTTTTTTATAAGTCTCATTGGTTCCAAGTGAGAGTGAAATTGTTCCACTCGGGTCAGTTGTATTTTTAACAAATGTTCTACAAAAATGAAAAGGCCATTAATTATGATAAAGTGATAAAGATTTAAGAAAATCTGAAGAACCATAATATGGTTCTCATATAATACCTATWACGTATCCGACGCTGACGTCATCTGGAAGACCTATTCGATCCCCAATTGCCATAAGCTTTCCATTCCTGTGACAAAAATAAAAAAATTTAATTAAAACCAATTCATTTAAAAACAAAAAAGACGCCATTAAATTTTACGATTCTGTCTGCATAATAGTGAACGGCATAGAGCCAGAGCCAGGATTTAAATTTATTCATCCAGGAAACTATTAAGTATTGTTATTCTAAACGTGTTCATATATGTATATTTTCTGGATGGTTGACAAGTTAACTACTTTATGTGTCACATGGCTTGTGAAAAAATAAAATCATCTAATAAACGATCATTCACACGTCATCTGTTCCAAATGTTAAAAAATAAATATTTTACTGAGCCACATGATAATATTGGTAGATTTATTTCCCATAAAGTACCTATACTCAAATTAATGAAAACTCAAACCTTGTGTGGATAATTTTTATTTATTATTATCATATATTTTAGTCGCTAACATATAATAAAACCGACGTTTTTAAATACAAGACACATTCAATTATACCTATATATCTAGTAACAAAAATAATATATACGACTACTTTTACAGTTTTACTTTATATACTTATACAGCCGAATATATCTTACAATATAATCATTAATGATGGGTGGTCCRATTTTTACGTTACTGCAGTTAATTAATGTGACGTGCATCGATTTACACTTGAAGATGTTTCAGAACAAGTATAATACGTATATAGTTAACGATAAATTCGATTAAGTAAATTTGATTTAAATCGTAATATAATACACAAGTTACAATAAAATTAGGTAACTAGTTTTAAAAGTCAAGAATCTAAATATTTTGGTATATATATATATATATATATATATATATATATATATATGGGGATTAGTGATGATCAGTTGTTTAAGCCAAAACATACCAATTGTTTTTTAATCATACTGATCGACCTAGTACCTATAAGCTTTTGAATTGATATGAATTCGTTACTATGTTTACTTGAGATCGACAATCTACTTTTCCCAATTTCACCATCAAATTCCTATAAATTTGGATTGAATATTTAAAAATTTAGACATTTTAAAACTTCGATAATTCGAAATTAATATCAGAAATCTTAAAATGTGGATTGATCGATCTGTAGTAGATTATTACAACGTATTCAAGAAAATACATATAAATGAGCATAAATTGTTTACCTAAACGTGAACAACGTTGACTTTTACATGCGTTTGTGGGAGGGCTCCGTAATTTTTTTTTACACACAGTCACACATCACACATACATTACCTACTACGTACACATTGACAAGACCAACATTCATGGAATTTTAATATTACCTATTACGAATTCTTTAAAAAGGGTTCACCAATAATCTCCTTAATATAAAATTAAAACAAAACCTATTTATATAATTTTAATTTTAATCCTTACACCTAAACCCTACAAGTCCCAATGTTTTATAAAATCAATWATTATGTACTATTTGCTATACTTTTAGCTTTTTTTTGTAATTTATTGATAGGTTATACCAATATGATATATCCTATTTGAATAAAAAAAGTTAATAAAATAATCTTTTTTAATTCTAGAAAAATATTAAATCCATATAACATTGAAAACAGTCTTATGAATTATTATCATAGTTTATTAATATTATATATATATATTTTTTTTAACTTAATTAAAAACTATAATTTTGAATACCTATAATATTTGAAAATCTAATTATTTTATACCAAAAATAATGAAGTTAAAACTTCAAAATGCGCGGATAAATTGTTGTAAAATATTTTAAATAAATAAAATTACAATAAAATTATAGTTATTA